AACTTCACCTCTCAGGTCATCATCATGAACCACCCTGGCCAGATTGGTAATGGATATGCCCCAGTTCTTGACTGCCACACCTCTCACATTGCTGTCAAATTCGCTGAGCTCCTGACCAAGATTGACAGACGATCTGGTAAGGAGCTTGAGAAGGAACCCAAATTCTTGAAGAATGGTGATGCAGGTATGGTTAAGATGATTCCCACCAAGCCCATGGTTGTGGAGACTTTCTCAGAGTACCCACCTCTTGGACGTTTTGCTGTGAGGGACATGCGCCAGACTGTTGCTGTTGGTGTCATCAAGAATGTTGAGAAGAAGGATCCATCTGGTGCCAAGGTGACCAAGTCTGCAGCCAAGAAGGGTGGCAAATGAGCTCTTCTCTGAGTGTGTTATCATATTTAGGATGGTTTTTATTTTCTGTTACCTGTTTTAATTTATTTTAACTTGAGGCTGTTTTTCGAAACTTGGTTTGCTTTGGTTTTACGCCTCTGTCCGTGCTTCAATGTGGTTCTTTTGGCTTTAGACCAGAAGTTTTGAATCATGATTCGCAGTTTACCAGCTTCCATCATTTTGATATCAGCATTGATTTGATTGATTCAGTTTCTTAAGTTCATTTATATGCTTTTTATCCTGGTTTATATACCTAGTTGGTGCTTCTTGTTTCGGTTGGAAGCTAAGAGTCATGCAAAAGCCACGCGAACGTCCTACAGTTCCGGGCTTCACGGGATATTGACGGCGAGGAGGTTTTTTGTTTTTTGAAATAAAGATGCCAGAGTTAAAAATTAGAGAAATCAAATTGGGTTACGTCTTTTTCTTTAAACTATTTTTTAAGCTGTTGGCTAATAAGATTCGTTTTTGGCAGCAAAAAAACGTTTAGCTTGTTTGGTTTGTACTTGTTGGTACTGGAGAAAATTCTAATCTAAAAATAGAGGAGAGTGCATGGCTAATAATGGTGTCGTATTGATCTGTATAGTATGTTGGGGACTGAGAGTGCATGGCTTAAGCTGGTCCAAACACAATAGAACGACGACAAAATAATTTGTCTGCAAGATAAACTGGAAAATATTTGATGTTTAAAACTAGTTTGCTACAAAATAATTATTGTTTTAAATTGCAGTCAGCTTTACGGGCGAGACCAAAGTGATAATTCTTGCTTCAATAAAATGCAGCACAAGCGACTAACATCAGCAGCAATGGGCCATTAAAATGATGAAAATAAGAAGAAAGCACCTCGGACAGCTAACACACCTGATCATCTTGCTTCCTTCTTCTTCTTCTTGTTCTGATAAAGCAGATGGCATGTCTGACCGGTGCCATGAATATGTTTCGATGTGGAGCAGTAATTCTTCTTCTTCTTTTTCCACTAAGAGAAGTATTCTCTTGTGCCGCAAGACAGAATACAGATGAAAGGGAGAATATGAATCTCATAATAGGAAGATATCAACCTCTAATTTGTTTCACTATTGGAGCACAGATGTCGCGTGCAAAACTATAATCTGCATTCACTGCCATATAATAAGTATCACGATCACAAGTTATCTGCAATTCACATGGGATTATAAAGAGAATAAGGACAGAAAAATGGATAAGGACATGGAATCTACAAATTTTAAAAGGAGGTTCACCTAAACAGTTGTGGCAAGTTATCAGTGGTGAGGTGACAACCGATTGAACATTGGCCTAGATGATGGAAAGATAGTCCTAACAAGTGCTTATAAGGTGAATGCTAGGGGATTCAGAATACCACCGAGGTTTTCCAGACAAGTCTTTCTGATTCCTGTGTCCATTTGTCAGCCGTGTGGGCTTCAGGTTAAGCATCTTTTCCTAGAGGACCCAAGAAGGTATTCCACAATTCTGAACATTGCGGGTCATCTTTGCTTTTTCACTATTATCCTGGTTCACCACATAGTCTATTTCTGGAAGGAACGTAACCATCATCTAGCATTTGCAACCACAACTCTTCTAGTATTCTGTATATTTTATCCCTTTCTGGGTGTAAAACATCTTCCGCAAGGAAAACATGGACACTACTCTTTACCTCAATCCAGCTCTGACCTGGCATTTTCCTGACACCCTTTTGTTTCATCAAGCTCCTTAAGTTAGCTACATCTCCCCAATTTTCAGAAGAAGCATATATGTTGCAAAGTAATATATGAGCAGCAGAGTTGGAGGGATCCATCTTTAAAATGTTTTCTGCTGCCTGTTTCCCAATATCAACATTTCCATGGGTTTTACAAGCAGCTAGCAGAGTCTTCCACACCACTATGTCAGGATAAAATTTCATTTGGTTGATAAAATCTAAAGCCTCATTTAGATGTCCAGCACGAGCAAGCATGTCAACTACACAAGAGCAGTGCTCCTGAGTAGGAACAATCCCATATTCTGTTTCCATAGTTCTATAGAAATGCCAACCTTCTTCAACACGTCCTACATGACTGCAAGCAGTAAGGACTCCTAAAAATGTTACTTGGTTTGGGTTGACTCCTGAACTTCTCATAGTCCTGAATAATTTGAGAGCTTCCTCATCATATCCAAACTGAGCATACCCCACTATTAAACTGCTCCATGAGACAACATCAGGAGTCTCCATTAAATCAAAAAGTTTTCTAGACATTACAAGGGATCCACACTTAGCATACATGTCAATCAATGCATTCACGACAGGAACATCAAGCAAAAGTCCAGATTTTATAGTAAAGCAATGCATTTGATTCCCCATTTCCAGAGATGCTACTTCTGCACAAGCACCTAGTACGATTGTCATGGTAATTTGGTCTATCGTGCTATGAGAAACAAGCATTAACTTCAACAATCTCAAAGCTTCTGCAGCTTGATTCTGCTGCATACATGCTGTAAGAATGGCGTTCCATGAAACAGAATTTACATTGTCCCCCATTTCTTCAAACACAATAAGTGCATTGTGGAGATTAGAACACTTTGCGTACATGGTAAGTAGAGCATTGCATACTGTGGTCCATGATTCAAAACCCATTTTAACAATGTAGGAGTGCACCTGCTTACCTTGAGAGAGTGACAAAGAACTGGTAAAAGCACAAAGTAAAGAACGCACAGTAACATCATCTGGGATAATCCTCATATGTCTTAGTTTAGAAAAGTAAGATATAGCTTCAGTGGCATGACCACCATTAGCAAGTCCCGCAATAATAGCATTCCAGGATGCTAAATCTGGCCTTTCTATCTGATAAAATACTGTCCTTGCAGAATCCAGAAAACCACACCTTGCATACATGTCACAGACAGAGCATCCTGCAAAAATGTCTCTCTCCAAACCAACTTTTATGCACATCCCATGTATCTGCCTCCCGTATTCTGGTTGAAGTAGGCTGCCACAAGCACTAAAAGCACTACCAAATATAAACTCATTGGGCTCGTAAGCACCCTGAAAGAGCATTTCTTTAAAATGGCTCAATGCTTCTGTTTCATAACCAAGTTGTGAAAAGCCAGAAATGATTGAACCCCATGAAACTAAATCCTTTTCTGGAATACGAGAAAACACATTCCATGCGTCGGAGATTTGATCAAACTTAGTATACATTGCAATGAGAGCATTTTGTGCTATAAGATGAGAACCAAGCTCTGATTTTAGAACATGGCCATGTACTTGTCTCCCCAAACCAACATCACCCAGACCAGGGCAAGCTTTTACAATGCTTCCAAAGGTAAACTGATCCGGCACTAGACCTGATTGTAGCATTTCAAAGTACAATTTAACAGCATCCCCCTCTTGACCATTCTGAGAGTACGCGGCAATCACAGAAGTATAAGACACCACATTTCTTTGAGGCATAACATCAAACACCCTTCTGGCATCCACCAATGACCCACATTTCCCATACATATTTAGAATATGATTATGAAGAACAACGTCTGGCTGAACGTTGCATCTCAAAATATGATTATGAACTCTTCTGCCTTGCTCTAGAGACCTCAAAGAAGCGCAGGCACAGATTAAATGTGCATAAGTACTCGATTTTATCCGAAAACTAGTGTTCTTTTGCATAAAGTCGAATGCTTCAAGAGCTTCCCAGTAAAGATTTTGCCTGTACAGGAAGCTTATGCAGTCGTTTCCCGCGTCTTCATTCCTGAAGCATGAACAAAGTGATTCTCTCACATTTGGCCGTCCGCCTTGGATGGCGCCGCGAAATGACTGAGGTTTCAACAATTTAATCATAGATGTAAAATAAAGAGCACAAAAAATGGGTTTCTTTTTCCAGGAACCAAATAAATATTAAGAAAGAAGAAGGAGGAAGAGATGGGAATACGTCTAAACAGACATTTACAGAGACTCCAGGAAGTAAGGAAACCAGAGTCGAAGAGAGGACTGAATCCGATCAGGGACGCGGGAATGACGAAGGTAGAACTGATAGGACTTGGTAGCTCTTAATAAAAATCAAAGGGACGATGCTTTTTATATAAAAAGAAAATCTTTTACAAAATATTGGAATAATATTAAGTCCA